AAATGTTTCACGTTTTCTCTTCAGGGAAGATTTGGACTTTTCTACGTTTCTACGTTTCTCGGAACTTAGAGGTACGCCAAGAACAAAAAATTCGCTGCCACCGCGAAACGTAAGGAAAAAAGCAACGCTGCAGCAACGACGAAGGATAAATTTTACACAGCGGATTCGCATAATACCTACGAAAGTGTCTGAAATTTTGAGCAGTGACTTACGGTAATTTGAGCTTTCCTTCCACACATATTGCCCATTTCGGTTTTCACCCAACCAGGACAAAATTGAGCGACAAGGATTTTCTCTTTTGCGAGGTCCACAGCCATCGTTTTACCTAACTGATTCAGGCCAGACTAAAAAGCTAACCATACAGAAATCTCGTTCGATAATCGAGTATAATCATTTATTCTAAGCCAAATCCAAAAAAATTCCTGAAAACATACTTTACTAATCTTATAGGCGAGAGAACCAAGGTCGCCGGATCCATCCTCATTCTCTCCAACAGAAGCCCAAAAACTCGAGATATTTATGATTGCAGCACGATCAACACCAAAGTGATCACCTGTTCCATGAGATGACGCCTTACGCAAAAGAGGTAAAAAAGTCTGAAACAAATAGATAAAAAAAAGTAAAAATCAAGGTTCCAAACTTGTTTAGTGCCTACTCATTCTTCATGCCAAGATCTGATTTGAAATACAACCGCAAGGACGCAAACACTTCAGCAAAACTCAATACTTCAAGTGGGCATCGAACATGCGATTGTCCTTACCGAGGGACCTAAGTGCTATCACTCGTGCCTTTATGTGAGCAATGCTCTTGCACTTGCCTTGTTTTCCTGTCCTTTTTTCTTAAATGTAAAGCAAGAACCTCGGATGGAGTAGTGGATAGAACACGAGCCACCAATAGGGGTAATCTCTGGGTCGGATCCCACCTCAGTTTCCGAATTTTGCTCACGTCCCAGAAACCAGAGGATTTTAACACATACAAAGAATAAACCAAACCCAACTACTATGCAATGTTTTGGCAAAAATGTACAAATTATCGACTATTCTCAAACGACCACCTGAGAAGTAATAGCCGCTCCTATTGTATTAACGTTGACACAGTCCAAAAGTGTTTGTCGATCAATAGCTCCATTGGTGAAATATGGTGGTAAAATAGCAGCATTGTTTACTAAGACATTTAATCCTGCGCCTCCAACTGATTTCTCTACCTAAAAATGGTTGAAGCAGTGTGATTTGTTGGATCATGTATTTAAAAAATATTAGCTATTTCAAAACATCAGTTGTAGCTATCAACCAATCCATGGGAGTAGCATGAAGATTATTTTGTTCTTGTACATCACGTGGTTGCAACCAAAAGCAAACACTTCAGCAGAGTAGTGGTACTCGCATCTGCAGATTTCTTTCGACAATTTCTTGTTACAATTTTCCTTCTCCCAATAATTTACGTCCTCGTTTTGTCTGAATGTCGAGCTGCGATGTACACCGGGAGTTCGTCCTCTGACAAGGTCTTCCAAGTTCAGAAAGAGTCCGGCATTTCCATCAAAAAGCGTGGCTAAGATTAAACCAATACCAGCATTAAGCATTGTCCTGTATCAAACTAGTCGCATGGTGGTAAATTTACTGACCTCGGGACTCCAGAGAACCACAATGACTAAGCCAGCAAAACTCCGAAAAAAATGGAGATTATGCTGGGGCCCACACAACCAATGAGGACGGGTCGTTCATCTATCCAAGTGATTTTCCTTTTACATCGATTTCCGTACAGTGCTTAAATTCCGTCCTGCCTTATTCACATGCTGTCCATCCAACTACCACGTACATTCTAGCGCCTACTTTCCTCCATTTTCCTACTTCCAATCATTTGAACAGCCGTTTTCTCGTTCTAACTTGTTCTACACAGCACTCGTCGATAATCCTTGTGGGTCCGGCGATGAATTGGCAAAGTCAAGTGCAACAGAAAACAAGATTTCAACTAGGATGTCTTCCCGAGAATAATGCACAATCTAAAGCATAAATAACAAAGCCAATCACAAATTAGCAAAATTCCGCTATGCAAGCGCATCCAAGGAATCTATGAAAACAGAGGAACCTCTTTGTAGGCGTCTCTAATTGATTGATCACATGTCACATCGATTTTGACGATTTTCAACCGACTGTCCGTGATGGCCTTCAAGTCCTGGAAAGAGTTGAAATAACAGGACAAAATCAAATATGACATGCTTTGTCTTCATTAACATTAACCTAGCTCAGAAATTCGTTTGCCCATGCGTTTCATTGTCTTGCAAATGGTAAAGATTGTCGAATGTGGATTCGTGAGCAAATTGAAGATCTTAGGATTTATTTTTTATCTGAATGATGAATGCTTTCCAAGAGTGATTTCCAGTGCAAACTCGAGACAGCCTTGTAAGGCATTCTTAGCTATTCCTCATCCTACTAGCCTTTGTGGCCTGAAGGATAGCTTATGCCTTGCTACTCGAGTTTTTCAAGTGTGACCACAATGCCGGAGACAGCAAAAGTTCTGTGGTTCGTCGAACGACAGTGGCGATAATACGCAACTTAAATCTCGTTTCAGTTTAAAAGAAGCCAACAAGAACATAGGAATAATAGACTACTCGCTTTTTGATAGCTAACATAATACCAGGACGGATTATCCATTGGAAAACAAATTCTTATCAACGAGTTGTCATATCAACAACAACCCCCTCGTTATAAAAGAGCGCTGCCTGGTGAGCATGCCTCATACGTGCGGTATTCCAGTGAAGGCGATCTGTCTCCGTACGACTACAAACACTCAACATCGAGAAGACGAACAACTGTGAGCCATCGACTCGGACAGTCAGCTCTGATGAAGGGGAAGACGTCGAAATTTCGAAACGTTATCAAGTAAACCATTTCACCAACCTACTGTAAGCTCAACAATCTAAATAGGTGTCCAAATTACGAATATTTGTAACGGCCAATACGGCTCAGAAAAACTGTAGAATGGTCCGCTTCCTTACAAACCCGCATTATTATTTTTGGTAGTAGTGTTATATCTGGAAAATACCAGTCTTCCAAAGTCCCATGTCAAATCGGAACCAATTGTTACCAAGATCGAAAGAAAGCAAATATCATTGTCCTTATAACCCACCGCATTAAATTGCTCCGAATGACATAGCGAAAAATCAACCATCTACCCATGACACCTTCGGCAATAATTTTTTAAAGATACAGGTGATTGGTGACACATTCAAAAGGGAACAAACCCCGTCAAGCGGTATGAGAAGCCGAGAAACGATGTCATAACGGTAGAATTCAAACTAGAAAGTTATTCATTTTTCAATAGATTATCAATAGATAAACAGCCACTCTGCATAAAAGGGCCCCGCCGAGTGAAGAAACTTCATTTTAGAGGTGTTCTACTCTATCGAATTCGAGTCGATGCCACAACGTGGCCTTGGCATCGCGAGACTGAACGACTGTGGACCATCGACTCGAATCAATCTGACCTTGACGGAGACAAAGCTGTCATGAAGTTAACCGAATGAAATTTTGTAACAAACGCGTGTTAGCTTAACAATCTGACAAAGTATTAAGAGGTTATAAGTTGAACGTTCTCCACGAGGAGTTCACTCAACTACTAAGCGGGCTGATTTACAAAATGACATTCAAACACGTCACGGTACATGGAACAGCACAACATTGGATAGTGATAACAAAAGCACGAAGTGTGTTGCAAATGTTTCAGGATCAAGCCACACAACTATGCAAAAAAGTTATTATAGTTTAATAGTCCATGTTTTCCATGAAACGTTTCCTCATAATCATGAACTGCACCAACAAAACAACACAACGTAAAAAAAAAAAACAAACACCAACAATCCCTTAAATGATGTTAGTTATGGAGATCTCACCATCATTTTGAAATTTATACTCTTTCTTGTCCCAAAACACAAAACACTGTATCACCTTCGCACTTTCAGGATTCCTTGCTCCGGTTATTACAAGTCTTACAGAAGAGGCCTTGAGGAATTCCTTCACCAGGCCAANTTTGCTCCTGTGATGAAGACTGATGCTGGATAAGTCATCTAAAAAAGCAAAGAGAAATAGAGGAATTTGCCACTACCACACTTACAACAATTCGTACTGATTTCAACGTACGTATATTCGCGACAATGCTTACTTGGATACTTGAACAGCCCATCCTCACTGGCTGTGCGGGCCCCAATATAACCTCCATTTTCCAGAGTTTTGCTGGTTTGGCTATTGTGCTTCGTTGGAGTCCCGAGGCCAGCCTAGCCAAAGTCTGTCCCAGGTCGTCACCATCACTGCCAGTCACCACCGCCTTTCTGACTGAGGGGGAGATTTGCCATCATGCCACTAGTCCCGCATCAGGACGGCGACGAATCCTGGCATTGGTTCACTCCTAGGTGGTTTCCTGACGGAAACGCAGAACTCCTGCTCAGCTTGGGATACCCTGACAGGGTGATGAATTACCCGTTGTGCATCGTAGTCCAACATCCAAGAACACCTCCTAGCCACGATGTGGCGGTAAACTCTTGGGAGGGCGACCAAAACACGAAACCAAAAAGGCGTCGTCATCTTTTTCAGGAGAAATTGTAATACAACAGACAATGCACAGTTAGCTCAACGAAGTACTAGATGTAGTCGCGAATACGTTCATTTCATCACCTAGTAGAAGAAGAAAACACGAACACAAAGCACATTACGACATCCAACGTTGAACAACACTTTAGCAAAATTTACGGTTGATAAACTCAAGAAACATGTAAAGACTGCTTATGCAAAACTTTAGTCATCCATCTGTACATAAATCCCTTCATATGAGGCCGATGCAGTGGTGAACTTGAGATGATCAAAAACAGCAGAAGAACACAGCAACAGTACAGATAACACAATCGTAATGAAACAAGAACACTGACATGATACATTCGAAAATTACATGCGAATTGAATGGATAACTTTTAAGGGAACATCTTCAGCCGTCGAACTTGTAGTCCCGCATTAATCTTCAATGACATCTCCTTTAGCTCCAAGCCGTTGTGGATCTTGACTTGGGTAGTAAATACAGTTAGCACGATTATTACTACCGGTACCATCCTTTGCAGGAGGGACAGATGAGGAAAGTGCTAAAGAGAATATTCGCATAAACACCGTAAAAGCAAAATCAAAAAAATACGACTAAAGGACACAAACCTGCCGGAGGGCGTGTTGGAGGAACAACAAGCTTAGCTGGAGGGGCAAACGATGGAGGCACAGGTGGGAGAGGGATGTTAAGGGGGTCCATACGTTGACGTTTCGAATTGCTCGGAACCAAATCATCAGGGGTTGGGCATGCTTAAAAAGTGCAAAATTAAAGGTGTTAAAGCAAGTCATGTAACGTAATGGATAATAGAACTAGACAAAACCTTCGTTAAATTAAAAGTTTCCATTCAGCCTTCTCTACATATTAGTTCAAGAAAAGTGGCAGCAGAAAAGGAAAAGCAAACAACTAACGATTTGGAAGAGACGGCACTGGATTGATGTTGCGTTGCTCATCACCCATTTTCTGGGCTTGTGGTTGCCCCCATCGAATTACAAGACGGCGTCCCTAAACTCAATCACTTTCTTCATAGATTTTACAGAAAGAAAAGATCAGAAGAACATGAGGATCAATATCATCCTCGCTTAACATTTTCCGCCTATTTACTTGTTAACCTTTTTTTAGCCACATGATAATAGAAAAAAATATGGTCCTCACAAGACCATAAACAGACTCGCCTTCAAGAACAATTTATTGAAAGACCTCTCTGCTGCCATCTCACATGCTTCCCTCGTAGTGAACTGTATGAAAGCACAAGATTTCGCCTCCAACAGCCGCAAACTACGAATGTCGCCGAACTGATAGAAGTAATCACTAAAATCTAATACAATTAACGGAAGCACATGTGGTATTAACAAATCCGGCCTAATTTACAAATACCGGACTTCAAATCTTTTTGCGTAATTTGTCCAGCTGGTCCAAGGTTACCCACATACAAAGTCGTTATAGTAGTATCTGCCGGTGGTTCCAACGCTGGCATCGCCTATGATAGTCATGTGAATGTAAATACTATGAAAATGATGGGAAAAGCGTGGTTGAAAGAAGTAAAAGGTCTTAAATTAAGAAACTAATCTCTTAGATACAAAAACTAAAGAATAAAAATGTGTGCATTTACCTTGGCTCTGTTCATAATCTTTTCCGCAACCGGATCATTACTTCCATAATACCTATCTTTGATATTTTGAGTGGACAGTGGATCATCGGGATCTGACGGTTTTTCATGACTGAAAATCACAGTCGAGTTACTATTTCATGAAAACTGCTGCAAGAAACATCCAGGCCGAAATAAGCATACCGATAAGGACACTCCTCTCCTCTCTTACATTCTCCCTTTACGTAGAAGGAACAAATGTGTGGCGCGTTACGCTTGTAATATGGGGCTGTGCGCGCAAGACGTTTCAGCATCTCAGTTCCGGCAGATTCGCCTACATTTGCAAGTGCGCCAATAGGTGTGGTACCGTCAGTATTCGCAAATGCCCTAAAGCTTCAGCATTAGCAGCTTTAGGAAATACCCAGCGTAAGATCCAACATTCATCACTTACCTTTCGGCATTTTGAAGAAAAAAATCTCGGTTAGCACCTTGACGAGGAAGATTATCGGCTATTTGTAGAGCTGCATCACGAACTTGTACTGGGAGGCCTAATGGAGCAAGGCTTCATTAAAGCAAAAAGTAATACTTAAGGAAATGAAAACGAGGACTATCTTGAAGATATATACTATCGCTAATGTATAAGTACAGAATTCAAAGCAATCAGGGAAAAGACGTACAAGCAAGAAGTTGAAAAATGGAAAGAGAAACAACCTACCGTACTCCAAGTCAAACATGCATGTTTGACATACATTCTTTACTTTGCTACAAGTCTGACAGAGTTCAGTATTCTTGTAACGGGCCCCTTTCCCTGGCTGCCATCGAAAATTGGTGAAAGGTCGTTCACATATTTTACACTCTTTGCCATACTTATCCTTCATCTAAATAATAAAATTTTAAAGAACGCAAACACATAAACGAGTAATACTGCAGAACTAACCACAACCACAAGGCAACACCACCAACGAGATATGTTAATAGGAAAAGCAGACAGATGAAAAAGAACTTTCAATTTTACTTACCATTCTTAAATACGGATTGTTTCCTAGACAAGTTTGACAAAGTATTGGAAAATCAGCATCTTCCCAGTTCTTCCGATTGTACTGCGTGTAGGATGACTTTGACATCGACATTTTTGCTAAATTTGTCTTAGAACAAAGTCCAAAGTTACTATTGGATGATTAACAGCAGAAAACTAGTGAAAATACTGTAACCTGGTGTTTCAGCAGAAGAAATTCAAAAACAGTAAACGCTATGAAGAATTTATTCTTATGAATGATGAAAACCTTGTAAGAAGAATGATACGGAGTGAAAGCCGCAAGGATTACCATTAGAACAACAGAAATCTCACTGCCCAAAATACGCCAGAACAAGAAAAAGTAACAAAAGTTCACGTCCAGAACAACAAAGTCAAATAATTTAGACGAAAAAACCAATACGAAACTATCACAACTGGGAGGACAAGAGTACTATAAATAGCAAATAACCTATTAAGTACAAACTCAGAACGTTTAGGTGATCTAGTAGAGTACCATATAATAACACTCACAGTGATTTAAGAGCAATTCGCAGAGTGGAGACCAATTCTGGAAGACGAACATCCTAAAAATGTTACTGGATTTCTAGTTTAAACAAAAAGAATTGGAAAGGAAAAAGCGTACTTTCATGTAAGATTTCTTTAAAACTGCAGGTTTTGAAGATGTCACTTAGAAATCAACACAGTGCCGTCTGACCACAGCAATTCACCAATGAATAACCAAATTACTCGACTGAGACAAAGGGACTACTTGCATAACTGACGAATTAATATCGAGCCGTCGCAATGTCAATGAAGCAGTCAATTTTCAAAAAGTATCAATGAACTAATTTCTAAGGTGCCTAACAACGCATTAAAAATATGACTGTGAATACGCCGAAAAATTCGGTTGACGGCTAACTAGAATTGTCAAAAACTGAGAACTGAAAGTGACATGAAAAGGTGGTACTGCGCATAGGCCACTTCCCAGCACCTTAGAGAAAACACCGACTAACAGACGTATCCAATCTTTGTGCTCTCCTTTTCACTCAGTAGTCCGGAAAGTTTAACTGGTTCGATAATTTTACTGATCAAACCTAAATGATGTGCTCTGAAATATAACCTACTCACACAATATCAAGCCAGATGTCATAGTTAGACGGTGGCAAACATCCCTTCTTTAAAGTGTTAACGAATACGTAAAGATCAGACTCTAAACTCAAACATGTTCACACTACGGGATTCGAAGCAGACAACCACTACCGACGAGAACAGGGACCATACGATTCGTGAAGATGGGCCGTCCATTTACTCAACAATGTAAGAATAAACAACTTAGGAGCAAAAGAAAAACCCCATGGCTTCTTAAAGAGTTAGTAGAAGCTGAGCATACGAGACATAAACTAGCAAATATGCCAAAGAAAGATAGCCGTAGAATCTCTCTCCTCTTACCTGCTCAACTCTCGTTTTCACGTTCCGGAGTTTAACTACACCGTCTTGGAGCTCACGTTCTCCTACGATCAATGCTAAAGGTATAAGTCTGTCTTCACAATATTGAAGTTGATTGAGCAATTTAGGATTTGCTTTGTAAGACATCTCCACCTGAACAATTACCTTTAAATATATGTAACAACAAAATGATTAAACACACGACCTATAACAACCTTAAAACCTTCATCCCACAATGAACCACAGAGCTTCATACGCTCCTCCAACAGATTCTTTTGAGCAGAAGCAATGAATATCTCAGTTTCGGAGGTGCGCACTTGCAATTGCTCAACCTTAACACAGACTATCTTAATGGTGTGGAAACCAATAGAGGAATTGTCGAACCTGGTTTTTAGCTTCTATAATAGCGAACAATCGCTCAATTCCAAAGGACAGACCAACACATGGAACGTCGTGACGCTTCTCTTTACCTTTAGCGCTCATTGGCGCTATGAAATTGCCGACTAATTCATCATATCTACAAGAAATAACCTGTAATAATCTACATTTAAGGGCAAGCTGAAAAGTAGAAAAATGGATGAAAACCAAACAGCTGGAAAATGAACCAGAAATAGATCTGCACCTTCCTCCAGCTGCCACGGATCCCACACCAACGGGCAGACTTTCTTCTGACTCTCCATTTTCTTCAAGGTTAAGACCTTTAAGAGCATCTGAAAATATTAAACTACAGCAACGAGTGTTCATAGAAAAAGAACACGCTGAACAACTTGGAGCTATTGCTTCGTAAATTGCTCCGGTATAGTAATCCAATCCCCTTGCTAATGATGGATCAAAAACGATTGAGCTTATGCCGAACAAAGAGCAGTAACGTAGTAGCACCTTAAATCTGCCTTCAAGATGATAACGTAATGATTAAACTTTTTACTGGGAAGACACAACTGACCCTTAACTCTTCCACTCCTTGTTTAAACCGTAAATTCTTTTCTAGCTCTCCAAATTCCATTAATTTATCCAAAAGCTCAGCACTACCCAACGATGGATTAGTTTCTGCAAAGTTCTCATTCACAGTGTTAAAACTGCATGGAAATAGTTAAATCTGAGTGTGAACCTCGCAGAGTAACATACTGTCCCAGCTTCTCGGTGTTTTCCTTCGTTAGGCCTTTTTCTTTTAGAAGTTCTTCTTCCACCTGAAAGCACGCTGAAACCGATCTGTTCTTACGTATCTAAGTGCTGTCCACTCAAAAAGCCTATTTGCCTCTTTCCACGGCTGTTTATCGAGCTTATCAATACAGGAGCAAACTGTCTTAAACTGATCGGGACTAGCTCCACAAGCTGCAAACATGCCCTCCAGAATCAATCGGTGGTTTAACTGAAACCGTTCTTCAGTCAACAGGAACGAGTAGGTGAGCAGGCATTGAAACAATATGCAGAGCATTTGTAAACAAACCTTAACAGAGTATTCACCAATTTCTAGTTTAGAGAGCACCTCGTCCACTATTTTCAGGCACTCTGCCTCTGGAATCATCAAATCGTATTGCCCAGCGATATCGAAATCCTACAAACTGCAGAACATGCGTGGAAATTATATAAGAACATGTACAATGCAAAGAATTCAACGATACGATCCTAAATTTTAGCCCTCACACATTGGAAGAACTCTCTATAGCGCCCTCTTGTCATAACAGGTTGGTCTCTCCGGTACACTTTTGCGATATGGTACCGCTTGATATTCGATATTTTGTTCATAGCCAGGTATCGAGCAAATGGTACCTAAGTCATTTCGAACTCAAAGGCGTAAAAGCCTTTAAAAAACGATTGAAAAAAACGCAAAAAACACCGTCAAGTCATATCGCAGTGATAGCAACTCCCCTCCTTGATCCTGCAGATCGTAGACGAGCTTGCCGCCCTCCTCGCCATACTTTCCCATTAGAACCTTCAATGTGCAAGTACAGCACTACATTTCATAACTAAAAACACGTCCACATACCTCTCTTAGCTCAAACACGGGAGTATCAATCGTCTCAGCTCCGTGTCTCTTAAAAGTGTCTGTAACCACTTTCAAGACAGCTTCCCGTATCGCCATTGACTTCGGCCCATAATCTCTTGTCCCTATAGATAAAACAAACTTTAGTCCACATTTCATAAGTAAATACATTGTCCTTTGATGACAATGACGTTAAACTTCACCTTTTGGCGTTTTTAATACGAATTTTCCTTGTTCAGATTGACCGTCACCCAGCAGTTTCTTCTTCTCTAGCATAGCGGCAATTTTCTCCTTTACCTGACATATTACTGGATCAAACAGCAATCAATATCCAGATAATTTTGTTCCACTCAGCTGATCTAACAAAGCAAAAAGTTGGTAGAAGGCCCGCGCACCCTTCTGCCACTACGGTGTGTGTATACGACAGGTTTCTTCACCGCGGTAAGGTAATGCAAGCATTCCCACAGAAAGCTAGATGAGATCATTCTCGAACGCATGTCTCACTAGAACACCCAATTATCACGGGAGAATGAAACTAACCAAATCATACAACACGTAAAAATCTCGTATTCATGAAAATCACTGATGAGATCGCATTTCGAAAGTCGGAAATCCCAGGGTAGACACTCATTGGTCACCTACAACGCAAACCAAGAAACGAGTCAAACCCTTGTGCCATCAAATACCAACAGTACCTTCGGCGAGCCATCGCAGAAAAACATACAAGAAAGCATAACAATCACTACACCACATGGCAGAATGACGTCGAGCAACTTGTCGGAAACTCGAACACACCAAAGCGGGATCAACTTTCTCTGCCTTCAGCGCTCTAATCTGATCACCCAACGATTTGATCTCATCTCGTAAAATTTGAATCTCAGCGTTGTTCATCTTTCCACCTTGAGAGTTATTCAATTTAACCCTAAAAATGTGAATCAGTACAACAAGATGTGTAACCACTGCTATAAAAAATCGAAAACAAGGGTTTATAGCCTCGCTTTGACCCATGGAGAACACCTCGGGTCTCGAAATGACATGACCTTAAACATTAAAGCATAAGAATTTCAAAAGAGCAGAATAAAATGGAGTCAAACACTAGAACAACTGGCGGCGACTAACAGATGAGGAAAGAGAGGGAAGACGGACAACTCGTCCGCTACCAGAATAGACGGCGGACTTCGCCCCGAATCACTCGTACATTATCTGGGACCAGGCCAATGGCACCATCTGTAAGTGCGTGAGATAGTGATAAATACATTTATATCTGCAGGAGTGCATACCGTCGGTCACTCCGGCTGAATACTCATAGATACCATTACAAGCTTTGTATACGATTGTTAGATTTTAGATTTTCCGTTTGCTGAACCTAGAAACTCGCACATTCATTTCGTACCACGCAGTTCACTTCGTGTACTTCCCTTCGACGAGTTATGACGACGGCCATTCGTCGTTGCCTAGCTTTTTGCCCTGAATCCTCCAGTGATCGCCAGGAAACGTCATAAGTGCAAAACATACGACCAGAGAGCAAATAATCTACAAGTTCATAAATGAATCGAAGCAAAAAAGTGCTAAGCAGCAACCTTAACAAGCTTAATAAGGTTGAGAAGATGTTCATCACTGGCTGGTTTACCTTTTTGAGAACCTAACAGTGGAAACATCCAGTGTCGTCGTCTACTCCTACGCAATCAGTCGAGCACGTTTTTCATAGTATGAAACGAACATGTTTTCAGCCAATGAGATGCGGCAACACTGCAGTAATTTGAACAATATGGGCAGACATTTCTGGAGTTGTTCAAGTTTCTGAGTCTTAGAGCTACTCCATCGTCATAGTTAGATCCAGCGTTGTTCGGCCAACAAGAAATGAAACGTGGCTACGAGACATTGTGCAAAAGCAGTAGATTTAAAGTCAAGGAACGCTTTCGTCTGTTGCATCACCAACTGGCGGAAAGTACTCAATCACTTGACGAAGACAACAGTCTTTAGCAGAAGATTCTTTGTGAATATGAATATGAACAGTGAAAAGTATTCATTCTTCTTCGTATATCCTCAGCCACCTCTCATATTGCTTGCAAAGTAAAGGATGGTGGATATCTGTGCTGTTATGGACGTTTTGCACATACGGAACGAATACCTGTTGAAAAACCATAGCTAAAGAGCACCCTATCTTCTGCTTTGCTCCTTATTTCTTAAGTTGCGCAGGAAAAATCTTAAAGTCGAAAAGGAATGGGCTCTCTGTGCTCAGTGCCACCATGATGCTTCTCAATGCTCCGCTGAACCGAAATCCCCAGCTTAAGTCTGGGTTGGTCTTTCACCGTCTCCACTTTTTGTCCCAGTCGAGTATAAGACGAGTAGAGGTGTTCGTTCAGTTGACCACGAACAGTCCGTCAAAAACCAATCCATTTCTCACGATTTTCGCTATCTTACGATTCAATCGTAGACCAGTTTTTCTAGACTGTGGAAACAGTCCAGATTACATACCGCTTAGGTATCACTCAGAACGACATCATTTACATACGATTGCATTGTAGCCGTCCGGATTTCAGCTTCTCTATGGCGTTCTTATGGTGAGTGGATTGGAATAGAAAAGCATTGTTTTGTCGAAGTCTCTACATTGGTGCTGTAATAATATCGTCGCGTAATAATAAAACCCTGCTTCTAACCTGTTATGCAGCTCACGAAGAATATTTATGTGGTGTGATAGGGTTACACTAGCTATCCAGTAGTTCTGTGACTACTTCTTTTTGAACTGATCAAAAGCACATTGCTAAACAGACTTTCACTTAGCCTCAGCGTGACTCAGCTTACACGAGGATTTCATATAGCTTTTATTTGCCTAACACTTTTTAAATAAAAGTTATATAAGTTCCTGTAAGCTAAATGATCCAAAGAAATCGACTATTCACGTCAAGGTTAAGTGAAAGTTGATTTAGTTTTGTATTATTCCACTACATGCTAGCTATTCGAATATCAACTGCTCCAAGATGGATTGTCGACATGGAAAGAAATCATTGGCAGTCGACAATCAGTCAGCAACCTTCATGTGTAGAACAGCATCGCAAGATGATGTTGCCACCATCGAGCGCTAGCTGCTCTATTGAAGAATATTCTACTCGATACGCCGACGAATACACCACATAGCAAAGACGAACGGCAATGGACATCGAGTCGGACCATATGAAGAACAAGGGTCATTCCAGGATGAGGATACTTTCGGATGGTTTCCTGATTTTCTAGGAGTACACTTTGGTTCTACTTGTTGAAGATCCAAGCCACCTTCTATACACCTTCCAGTCATTTTTTGCTGGCATTTACGGAATCGATCTGCAGAATACTACATACTCGGAAGTACATTCACAAACACATACATGAATGTTTCCACATATACACCGAACGTACGAGTCAGTTCACAACAGAGACCGAGACCGACTCCAACACCCGGATCTAGTTGCGTTTTGTGAGTAGTCCGACTTTCGTCCATGTTCAACTCCTTACGTACCAGAGACACGTCTTATAGCCTTGAGGGTTAGCACATTCGAGGTTCGCGACGTAGAAGATTCGAAGCAACAAAATGTTAACTTTTCAACATTTGGGAAACATTGGACCTATACCACTTCGAATCGAAAATAGAACATGATAAAATCATCGGTACAAAGAAATTCTTCCACGATTTATTTTTTGAGCTAATCGATAACAAATATAGCAAGAAAATGTAGTAATGGTAACTATAAAGGGTGATCCTGGATTTTTCTCTTCAAACATCAAAGAACTTGACACAGTGTGCACACTTTCCAATCGTCGCCCCCTGGGTAAATTAACAATAAGATAATCTTAAGCTTTTTATTTACAGCCTATTCTTTTTGATGGCAGGGTATACATTACGAAATATAACTTCAATGATGCTGAGATATTTACAAAACTCCGGACCGCATGTGTTTGCGGTGAGGAACGAACGCGCTATTGTCCTTTCTGGGGAGTAACGCATTCACCACCACACCATGCGGTCTCGAGCTTTCTATTTAAATATCTCAGCATCATTATGGTTATATTACACGTGACAATCGATAGAACTAGCTGAGAGACAAGCGAAAGAAGGACCCGCATGGTGTGGTGGTGAACGCGTTACTCCCCGGAAAGGACAATAGCGCGTTCGTTCCCCACCGCAAACACATGCGGTCTAGAGTTTTGCAAATATCTCAGCATTACAATAGTTAACAATAAGATATTTTAGATGATTGTTTTGTCGTCTTCTCTACGCAGGAGGAGATGGACAAATGCTTTGAATTATTGAACGAGCAGTCCGAGTACATAAAGTTCACTCGGGAGAAACCAAGAAAAAACTGGCTTCCGTTTTTGGACGTTCAAATAAACCTATCAAGTAGCGGTTACCTCACAAAGTGGTATCGAAAGCCAAGTAACAAGAACATTCTTGCTCATTTCCTTTCTTCCCACCCGTCACACACAAAGAGCGCGATTGTGAGTAACATGTTTCGAGCAACCACCTCTGTGTGCACTACCAGGGAACTAAAAGAAGAATCGCGCGACTTGGCTTGGCAAATAGCCATCTCCAATGGCTACGAAATAGTAACCCCACGAGATAAGTTTACAAGGAGAACGACGCGCCCACGCGAAACACTTGGCCAAAACAAAATCCCGTTTGTGTTGCCTTTTATAAGCGATGAAGTAAGCGCAGCTATAAAACGATGCTTAAGAAGAGCAAGTCTAGAGGAATCGGTAGCGATAGTTGAAATACCACCGACTACTCTACGTCGCCAATTAGTTCGCAACCGCTTGTATGACCGTCTGTGTGAAACAACAAATTGCGTAATTTGCCCTTACGGCAGGGACGGTGATTGCATGAGTTCAGGTACGATATACCTGATCTCGTGTAACAATTGCGGAGATGAATATATTGGCGAAACGGGCAGACCTTTGTGTATCCATATAAAAGAACACCTAGATGGCAAACGAAAACTACGACGAAGCACCCCACTAGGCACGCATAGGATACAAAAGCATAGCGGAGACGATTTTGAAGTAAAAGTCAATATCCTTGCACAGGAGGCTAAAACACCAGCGCGAAAACTTCTTGAGGCTTTTTGGATCAATGCCAAAAACCCTACAATGAACAGCAGGGACGAATGCCCGGAGGTCATACGCGACCTGATCCCGTACGTTCGCATCGATTTTTGATGTGGGATGGTGCAGTCGTCAACCACATGCGACTATAATCAGCTGTTCTAAACTTCCTCATTGGAAGTCACGAAAAAGCGGTGGGTTTTTCGAGAAGTTGTTGATCACGTAATTACCAAAGAGTCTTTCGTCTTTTTGTAAGTGTTGTTGAAGCGTTTGGCCTAGTAGATTGTATATCAGTATACCCTTCCAGGCTCTGAAGAAGGCGATACTGCCCAAAAATCGGCTAGTGCTGTATTGTATTGTGTCTTTTTATGGAAGTATTGTCTATGTATTGTCCTATGTATGCTGTTTAAAAACCTCGCGA